AAAAAAAAAACCCAGAGAGGTCTGATTTGTAGAACGGGCCCGATCAGATCAGTTGGAGATCCCCTCTTGTCTAACCTGACAGGGGACATGCATCACAATAAATCAGACGAAGAAGACTAATCTGCAGCAATGGAGATTTCGAGGGGTGCAGATGGTCGCCGAGTCAGACGCGGGGCAGTATGTGCTAACATGCGGTAAGGCTAGTCAAGATCCCCTTGAAAGGAATGCCATTGCTGTCCATATGTCCCCCAATTCTAGCACAGCAAAGAAACGCACTGGCGGCAACGGATCTGGGCCCAAAAGGTCCTGTCCCGTTGGGCCTGGTCCCACTGGGTCTCGAGGGGTCCCGGACCAGGACCAACGTGATAGGGGTGCCAAGTTGGTCCCAAACTGCCTCTACCGTACTGAAAAGGAAAAGACAACTTTCAGCAAGAACTCACTTCTACAGCCGTTCAGAAATGAAAAGACAATGCACCGTAGAAAGATATGTCATTTAGAGTAGATACATCATCCATCCATCCATCAGGTGAGGTCACACGGCACTTACCTGTGAGGCCCGGCCTCCAAAGATGGATAACGAGTCACTCCCCTCTCATATAAGTCCTCCTGACCCCTAGCTACCACTACACGAAGTGTCCTAGCATGACTAAGAGGGCCTTCCTACACCCGTGTTGCAAAGCCGGATCCCCCGTCGATGCCTGAAGACCAAAGTAGCAACTTGCAGCAATCTGATGCAGATATGGCAGCCTCCGATCAAGTCTCCCTCTTGAGGGGAAGCCCAAAAGTCACTCAATGTCTTCCTGAAGTCCAGATTCCAGGTGCGAGTACCTCTCACTCTCTACTCCCTCTCGCTTACTCCAAACAGCCTCCTTTGTGTCTCGCCACGCCATACATTCACTCAAGCAACCTGGTTGGGTCCAATGTCGACCCTACATGACCTAACCAGGTGGGGGCAGCATCCCCATACCTCGCTGCCCCACTTAACCCTAACTTCCAACCCTAATCCGAGATTAGGTTAGCCCTAACCTAATTCGGAATTAGGGTTAGGGTGACTAACACCTCTCGCCAGCGAGTAAGTCCGCTCTGATACCAATTGTTACGATCCTGGTCATTTCCCAAGTGCAAATTCACAATGGAAGTCAATGCCACCCAATTGCGAAAGAAATGAAAGCACTTGCAAGAGATAAAGACCAGAGGAGAAGTAAAGAAGAAGAAGAAGAAGAAGAAGAAGAAGAAGAAGTACACCAGCAAGACCAATGACAATTCCCCCCTTCTCTCTCCACCTTCCTCCTTCCTCCTTCTCTTCACCAATCTTATTCTTCTCTCAACAATAATAATAACAATGAATKGATGAACCAGAATCAATGTCCGAAGTTCCCCCTTACTGCTGACTCRACTYACAACCCAACAACAACAACAAGTCCACCATGGCTRTGCCCTCTCTCCTTCAACCTCCTCTCTCAAGCATAGGCCARGGCGGACTACTAGAAGGCAGCTATGATGCTGCCCTGATGCCGAAAGACAACCCAAAGCAGCTATGTCGCTGCTTGACTTGGTCCGCTATGCCTGACTCTGCCTCGAGCTGCCCTGGTGCAGYGTTACCCCAACCGGGGCCTTCCAGATGCAGCGCCCAACAAGGTGATGAAGACGGTGTCCACCATAGCCAGGTAAGTGCCCTACCACTCTCCTRCCATGTCCCCCCTCTTCCTCCTTCAAGCTGGGGTGCTCGCCATAGCCAGGCTGAGCCCCCAGCAGACCTTCACCTCCAAGCAGCGCTGCTTCAGACCAGCGCTGCGCTCCAGCAGCATGTCGCCAATCCTTGCATACCGCAAATGAGGAAGAGCTCACCGCTCTTCCTGAAGATATAGCGGCCTACCGGCCTCCTGGGCGGTGACTTCCTAGGCCAAGCGGCCTCCCAGCAACCGGTACCTCCTCCCTTTTGTAGGGAAACATCATCGCAGGCTCTGTTATTGTCCGCACAGGCCCTAGACCCGGGCTACTTGGACTGGTACCGGCCTACCTCTAACCTACCGCTACTGGGCCTCTAAAAATGCCAACTTTTTGTCTTCTTCTGCTCGGCCTACCTGCTACTTGAGTGTTTTTCCCCAGCTGCTCTAAGTGTCGTGGGCCTACTCCCCGCTACCGCCATGTTTACCCCCCTGCAACCCTTCAAAGTCACGGCCACAGGTAAGTACCGGCCCGGTGGGCCTTGCAACCAACAAGTACCCTGGCGGGTCACACACATACCCAACCAGCAAGMACTCAGACAGGCATGCAACCCAGCAGGCACGCACACACACACAACCGGCAAGCACTCAGACAGGCATGCAAACCAGCAGGCACGCACACACACAGACTTGGGACCACAGCAGAATGCGGGAATCACAACAAGGCATTCATTCCATTGACAAATCCCAGAAATCAGCAGTGTTCTCAGTCTGTGTTTTGGGCGGGTCATTACACTTTATTTAATTTGACAAAGAATTCCCCCTTCACTGACATCGGAGCAATGTGCATCCCTCTTTTTCTTCTTCCTTTCAAGTCTGATTTCGAGCTAAGTATGGAGCTCTGTGGATAAGTACTGTATATATATATTTTTAATAACAAAACAGAACCGTATGGTTCTGGCTCCTTATCCAGTCCGGGGAGCATCAGTCCAGTTCCTGTTTCACCGGCTGGATAAGTACTATCTGTATATCCAACATCTGCGATTTCTGGAAAAACAAAAGTATTTCGTTTCCATAATCTACACTTTGTTTAATTCGACAAAGAATTCCCCCGTCACTGACATCTGAGCAATGTATATCCGTTCCCCTCCTTTTCTCCCTTCCTCTCTTTCACTCCACTGTTTCCTCCGTTCTCCTTTTTTCCCACCTGCCTCACAGTTCGCCCGTGCGTTTCTGTCTATGGCCCCATGCCGCTTTCTCTGTCCCTCCCCGCCCTTGGTCATCATGAATTCCTTCAGCAGCAAGTAATAACAAGAATAACGAGCCCAATAGCAGATTCTGCAGCAGCTACAGTTAATACAAATAAAGCAAATAATTGACCCATCAACTCATCTATAGATAAAACAGAAAATATAAAAAAGTTATTGACAGCAAGTAACATTAACTCAGTTGACAGTAACACAACAAGGATATTCTTTCTATTTAAAAAGATTCCCCAAATACAGAAAAGAAAAAGAATCGTTGAAAATGTTAAGTATTTTACAATTTCTACTACATCCACTCAGTTCCTCGCCTCCCTCTCGAATGCCACGCCTTGGAGATTTACCCTGGAAGCCATTTGCTTATGTCTTTCCGTTTTCTGGATCCTCTCTTCTGTGATTCATTGCCATTTTTTTCTGATATGCAACACCCAGCAGATGCTTTTGTGTCACTTGTGGAGCAGAAACTGTTGTCAATTGCCCGAGCAAGTGCCGAAGCAATCCGAGCGTCAGTAAAGAAGGTAAGAAATTTGACTCGATCAGCCGACCAGTAACCAGAGAGCCACTCTGATCGTAGGCTGCGATCTGCAAATGATTGTGCAGGGTGCTGTAAGTGCATAACATATAATTCTATGATGTTCAATGCAATTTTAATCTCAGCAGCAAATTCCAGCAACCATGGCAGTCCCTTCCTCTCTGTCATTTTCTTGGATTAAATAGAAACAAGAAAAAAATACTCTTGATGTATTATGTAGTATGTATGCCTTGTTATTTCTACATAGCTGCCTAACCAAAATGTCTCCTTGGACCAGCGCTCTATGTTCACTGAATGACATCGTAAACATGGGTGAAGTAAAGAAGATACGAATTTCACATCATCGCAGTAATAAACCACCTATTGCCAAGACAAGAGGAAAGAACAACCCAAGAAGGCCTGTCTCATAAAGGTACAACAAAGGATAGGTCAAGAATGCCTTCCACATAGAAGTACAAAATCTGTGACATACTGCGTGCCCTTTTAGTCCCAGCTGGCTTGGGTCCAACTGTGGCAGGTGTATGCTTCTGCTTCTTCATTGATTTTGCGAGGGTTTACCCCTCGGCATAAGGCCCTGCAGCAGGATTGGAGGAAGAAGGGCAATCTCATGTTCGTTGACCATGATGGCCAAGCGACTTAGATTGACGATTTCTCCAACCTTGGGGAAGAGACATAGTTAGATGGGTGTGGGGAAACTTTAGATGGTGGAGTAGCCGCCCCCATTAGAGAAAAGGTTAAGGGGGTCGGGAAACAAAAGGCAGGCCAGCCCAAGGGTCAAAGTGACCAAGGACCACCTATATGGGTGAAGCTTGGTTTGGAGTACGAGGTGTGGCAAGACCGTGTTGCGCGAGGCGCTTGTCTTAATTGTGGCCACTATGGGCACACTATGAGCAAGTGCAAGAGTAAGCGGGTCGCTGGGAAGGTCGCGTCCTTCATTGTGACGGTTGGATCTTCCAACTCTGGTGGTGCTTCTGCGAGCACTTCCCAGGGAAACACCTTGGGCCAGTAGGAGTGTTAGCTGCTCTTACTCGTGCTGAAGTGGTTACTTTACCTTCTCCATTTCAGACGATGGCCAAGGCTATTGACCCCTTGATCGCCCTGCAGACAGATCCAGACCAATTGATGCTCTGTTCGATGGATGTGTTTGAGTCCTTAGAGGAGTTAGAGACTGAATTAGAGAAAGACCCTAGAGACTCCTGGGCGATGTTGAACAAAGGTCCAAATGGTGAACATTTCGTGGTAGAAGTCGATGTAGGTGGCTGAAAGGTTGGTGCCTTCGAAGACATAGGTTCTATGCGGAATTTCATCAGCCGTGCTTGTGTGGATCGGCTACACATAGGGGACCAAGTGCAACAGCTTAGCAGATCTGTAGCATCTACCTTAACCAACAAGCACTCCATGATAGTGAAGGACTATGTGAAGGACGTAGACTGTACCTTCTCGTATGGAGGAGGGGAACTGCGACACAAGATCGCGTTCATGATGAGCGACAACCTGCGATTCAACATGTTGCTAGGCATGTACTACACAAGTTGCCAGATGGAAGGACCGTTAGGCTGCAAAAGTTCAAGGCTAGCAGGCTATTGGAGAACTATGGTTGCGTGTGCGCGTCGTCTTTCTATAACTATTACAAGCAGAATCGTGAGGAAGGTATGTACCTAGTCTTTGTCTTTGAGAAAGGGGAGGCCGTAAAATCACTCTCAAAGATAGAAGCAGTCTTTGCGCAATATTCAGACCTCTTTGAGGAGCCTAGGGGTGTTGTAGAAAGAGAGATTGTCCACGCGATTGAAGTTGTCCCAGGTAGCAAGGTACCTAGAGGGCGGATCTATATGATGTCTCCTGCGGAGGTAGATAAGCTCCGCCGCCAGCTCAAGCAGCTCACAGAGAAAGGCTGGATTCAGCCAAGTACGGCCCCTTATGGAGCGCTAGTTCTGTTCGTCCCAAAGAAAGGGGGGACACTAAGGATGTGCATTGACTATAGGGGGCTCAATACCATCACTGTTAAACCACCAGTACCTCTCCCTGCTTGAAGAATTCGACACAGCCGTTAACGCGCCACATCGCGCGGGGTACCCACCGGCGTGCGACCGGTAGTCCTAAAAAAAGGGGCCCCAAAAAAAAAAAAAAAAAA